TGCCTTTCAAACAACCTATAATTCTGTGCATTATATATGCGGGTACTTCAAAAAGTTTGTGGAAAAATGGAATTAAAAGATAATACAAATCTTTCCATGAACTCTTTGAAGACCCCTTGTATATACTGACACCCCATACAGACTTCCTATGTTGATTCCGGATGTTCACATGCAGCAGATGAATGAACATTTACGGCCATCATACCGTGCTAGTGCTGGTTTGTGAGGTAATTTAACTGTCTTGCTGCATTTTTTCTTTATATTTCACTTGAGCAAGTGGAAAATGGAAAAAATCAAATGGCTGATACTATAAGAACTGCTGGTCTCTAAATTTAATACAACCAAGGCAAGAATAGAAACCAGGGGAAAGAAGAATCTTTAGCCACAATTGGGTACTCACAGGACTTAAACCAGTTGGCAGTGTTCAGAAAAAGATAAAGAGAAAAAAAGCAAATGCAGGCAACATGCAGAAAACAGTAAAAATAAAATATGTAAGATTATGTCTAAAAAATGAAGCATAACTTGGAATTTCAGAATGATTTAAGATCTCTACAACTCCTCCCAATTTTAGCCCAGTATCTTTTGCAGAATCAATGTTTACATGCGTTTTTAGAAATGTACGAAGTAGAATACGAAAGGTGACTTCCTGTTCTAAAAATGAGGAAAATAATTGACCCAAGACCAGCTTTTTACTATTAACTGAATGACTCTATAAGATTAGAAAAAATTGCCTTAGCAATCAACACAAAGAAATTATACACTAATCTACAGTAAAAGGTGCTACACAAGAGACATTTATTAATGTTTTGTTGTATTTACAGTTTTAACATAGCAAACCAAGGTGAATTACCACTTGGGCAGAAAGCACATCATTCTACATTTATAACACATTGGTTTCTGCTAACACATTGTAAAAGCAAGTAGTACAGTATGTTAGGGATCATCTCAAAAGTTCCAAGTTAATTCTTTCTTTGCTCCTAGTACCTAATCCTGCTTAATCCCAGCCTTTGTCCTAATCATTAGGAGACAAAAGAAAAAGAGAAAAAGGGATGGGGATTCTAATCACAGAGTATCAAGAGTTACTTACACTTTAGTAACCAAGTTGCATTTGTCCTTTTCCTTTCCTTTTTATACAGGGACAACACCTTCCGAATCCTTTAGATACTCACTACAGAATAAGGTACTACAAAATTTTGAATATGGACTATAAAAAATTAATGCTGATTGTTTACCAATTAAGAACATATTTTTTGACCACACCTTAAATGTAGTTTGCTCTATGATTTGCTTCCAAGTGTACACACAATACAGTTGAGTAACTTTCTATATTAATTTTAACAGCAAATATGGATTATGTGCAGAAATGCAGTCATAACAAATGTTTTAACTTTTGAGAAAACCCCTTTAAAATGACCAGCATTATACATATCTTACACTAAAATATTTAATTCCAAATTCATTTTGAGATGGGAAGATGAATAAAGCAAGATTGCCCCCTACTGACTACAGGGACATGGCTCATGCTATTTAAAATGACTACAAACAATATATAAGGCATTAATACATCACAGACTTGATTGCAAGAGCTTTTTCAAACATTAACCACTAACGATTCAATGATTACAGAATTCTGCATTAACTATTAAAATTTTACACCTAAGAACAAATAGAGCGAAATGATCTTTTTCAACAGTACTTTATTTTTTTAAAGCAGGTGATTATTCCTCTGTGTTCTGCATCTTGATTCACTTCCTGCAGGTGTTCTCTTGCTTCTTGAGAGAGAATTCATAAATGCAGGAAGGCCTTTGCCAGAAAACATCTGCCAGAGAAGGATATTGAATGTTAAAACTCTAGTTAGCTCGTTATTTTGGCAAAGAGAAGGATGTAGTCACAAAAGAAGGGAGGATGTTTGGAGACACAAGAAGTGCATTTTAACATAGTTTTAAGATTACTATATACTGACATCATAGTATTAAATAAACATTAAAATTTCAGATCCTAAAGTTATCAAGGCCTCCACAACTAGAAAGAACCAGAATGCTTTCTGTAAAAACCCATGAGGTAAGAAGTCTCTCTCTCCAAACCTCCTAACAAAAGAACAGAATGGAAGTAGCACTTCTTCAACCCACACTTAACCCTGTCAGCAATGACTGAAACTGGGGACACAGAAAGAGTACAATTCAAGTGCACAGGTAATTTTCCTAAAACACCTGAAACTACTGTTTACCCTGACAATTCTGCCACATCTCACACAAGGAAGATTTCCAGTAAGGATGCCAGTGATGTCATGCTATACTTACACAGACCATGGCAAAATTTAAAAAATAACTGTAAACTGACAGGTACCATAAATACTTTTTAAAAATAAATTTTCTCAAAAAGTCAATGTATTTTTTGGCTATGTTTCTCTGAAAATAATAAATATATGTAGCCCCAAGCTAATTTTAGGAAAAGAATGTACATGACTGAAATAAATGCTCTCAAAATAATGTCTGTACCTTTTGTTAAATGCAGTTTTCATCTGTTACTTTGAGGCATTTCTGTACTGACATAGTAAATTGTTTTGGTTCTCATGAAAATAACTTGGGAAAACCTACAAGTAACTCCCTATATTAATGCTAAAAGAAGACACACTAAAGAGCTACAGCTACTTAAATATTTATTGAAAAACTACTTTGTGGAACCCAGCACCAAGTGAGTGTTGGATGGGCTCATATTTTTTTTCCATCTCTCCAAATTACTGTGAAAACCACAAGAAACCCTTTTATATGAGGGTGTGTCAAAAAGTTCATGGAAAAAACTGAATTGGAAGATAATATGATTCCTTCCATGAACTTTTTGAAGACCTCATATCTTTTCTGATTAGACTACTGTGTAAGTCTTTAAAAGGCTGCCAAAATGTAGAGAAGGTATAACACTGGAGGAAATCAACTTATTCTTTTCAAACTGCCAACATTTTTCTAAACTCCAAATTCAGTTGTGTTTTGTTTTGAAGTAAACCAATGAAATTGATACAATAGCAATCTTTCTGTAGACTGAGAGATGTAAGAGACTGAAAGACCTCAGAATGTGTGGTGACATATGGGACACAAGAATATGAGGAACTCTAAAAGCCAAGAAGTAGACAATGGTAGACCAATGTCAAATGGAGGTTTTTGCAATGAGGCCAGACACATTATAAACCGAAGTAATTTCAGTTTTATCAGTTTCAATTAATATATGAACTACTGACTAGTAGATCAAAACACTACAGTTTGTAAGAACATATAATATAGTACAGATAAGTACCTGGCCACTTCCATAGTTCATGCTACTTCATCATAGGCAAACATCTTTAATAGTACCTTAAAGTCAAAGCTTGCCACCCAGCAGATATCAGAAACCCCTTAAGCAGGCCTAGAAAGATTAACCAGTGTGAGATCTCAATCGCCATAAAAACTCCAAATGAAAAAGATTGCTAGAGAGGCACTGCTGTCTAGGGCCTGGAGGCCTGTTCATATCAGCTTGACTGGCAGTGTTACACTGGAAGCACACAAATGGAGGACAAACACATCTTAGGAACTGTGAACATCATGTCTAAACTCTAGATCAGAACACTTTGGAAACAAAAGGAATCCAACAGCCTACAGATCATTTAACTGCAAAAAGAAGATAACCAGTTCTTGGGGACATTATGTGAATAAACTCTAGATCAGAACACTTTGGAAACAAAAGGAATCCAACAGCCTACAGATCATTTAACGGCAAAAAGAAGATAACCAGTTCTTGGGGACATTATGTGATTTTTTTTTCAGCAAAAATTCCACTGGAAACACCATTGCTACTGTCTTGCTATTTTATAACACAGTCCAATAAATCAAACTTTACCTTGACATGAATTTCTTTTAATGAAACAAGAGACTTATAAGGAACAGAGGGAAGATAATAGAAAAGGAGGAATCATTTATCATCACATAAAAAAATTAAAATATTTGATGCCTAATAGGTATAGCTAAACAGGTCATAGGAATCACTTTTCAATTGTGAAGGGCTCTAACTCATTAATGCTAGGCTTAAAAACTTTTTTCCCTTCAATTTCAGATGTGGTTAAAATAATAGATTTTTTAAACAATATTAATTGACAATAAATTAATAGATTTTTAATAATATTATGCTTCATATGTACAAGTGCTTTTGGTACAACATAAGCAGTCTTAGATAAAACTAGCTAACTGTGTTACTACCTTACAGTTCTGTAGCCAACCACTCATTTACCTGGCAGCATCAGAAGTGGTATTCTGTAAAAATGTATTTTCCAGTGAACTGGTAAATAAGAAAAAGTATGAACGCTTTATATTTTTAACCATTTCAGTAAAAACGTTTCTAAAAGGCATCTGTTGCTTTTTGAATGATAAGGAAGATTTTGTTTCTTCTGCTTCCTCATGGACACACAATTCTTGACACCACTGTGCCCACCTTTCGCAGTTCCTTCTGGTTTTTTGTTATGAAGTGGGAAACCAGATAACTGGGCTTGTTAGTGTACTTAAAAAAAAAAAAAGCCAAACAAGTTCTGAAAGGAAACCTTAGAGCTACCCCTATGATAGGGAGCACATGAGCTTTAGTGTTTGGCTTTTGTAACATCTATTTTGACTGATCAGAAAGAGATCTTTTGGGATAATTTCAAAATTGCTTTGTTTGTACTATATTTTGTGTAGCCTAAATAAAAAAGTCACTATTCCTATACTCTTTTTTAGTAAAATGCCAAATCTTAGTGTAACACGGGATGTATTTTTTTTTTCTGTTATGCCAAAGTTATTTTTAAAATTCCCTACCTGTTCTTTGTTTCTGGCAAAAAGTAAGCCATCAAAGAAAACAGAAGTCAATAAGGAAAAGTAAAGCCTTTGTATCTCACATGATGGTTTTCCAGTACATATTCTACCAAAGTTAAACTAAATTTAACTAGAATTAGAGAAAGAAAACATTTGGATCTGGAGTTCTTATCCCTCTCAATTGACAAAGGAAACTCAGTCCCATAGGATATTATGGCTTTTCAGGTTCCCTCTGGGGAATCCCCTGAAAATTATTAAGGAAGTCATTAGAATTCTAAATGCTGCTATAGGTCCCCAAAACCCTTAATTAGAGCTCTGAATCCTCTGGGTATGTCAGAAATGATTTCAAATCAACCCAGATATCATGGCTAGATAGAAAAGCAAATAAACTCCATTATGCCCTCCAATCGGGGGCACTCATTTACCCCTGAGTAAGTTTCTGACAACTCCTAAAGCACACTCCTGAAGCAATATTAGGCTCCCGACTTCAAATAATCTCCCTTAATAGCTCCAGCAACATTATTACTAAGGACTAACAACTTCACATCATAAACCTAAAGATGCATTGTTTTAAATTTAGGACACTCTCATAAAACATTTTGGAAATCAAAACAAAACAATAAAAACAACAAAATTCTGAGTACAGTCCCTAATAATACAGGAAAGTTGAGAAGTTCAGGCTTTCTCTCAACCTGACTGCTATTTATTATATACTAGAAGTAAGATGAAGAATGTGTGCAATCCCCTAATAAATATTCATATTTCCTTCTAACGGAAGAATGAAGAGAATAAACAGGTGTGATCTCAATCCATGCTGATATTCAGAGTTACCATTACAGTAGACCTACAGAATCTATTATTTAAAAAAAAGAAAAAAGAAAGAAAGAAACCTGTCCCCTCAAGATATTTTGGGCATCAATAGATTGGGGAAAATTTTTAGGTGATTCCAGCAACCTTTGTAAGGAGGACCTGTAGCAACCACAACCAACTTACGAATCTTTGGTAAATAAGAGTTAAACCTAAGGCTAACTACAAATTACCATCAGACAGGTAGGTGAAGGATGACAATGGTAACGGAATAAAACTACATGGAACATCTGATAAGCCTCTTAAAGTTAGGATGTCCTAGACACAAACAAAGACACATCACAGGTGTTAGGGTCCAGGCCAGTGGTGTCAATGTCCATCTGTGTCAAAACTTTGTGACTGAATTCAAACTCATGAAATGCCACAACATTTAAACGTGCAGTAAAAGATCCCTTTTTTTAAAAGAAAAAAATCATAAAGACCAAGTACATACTCCCTGGAAGAAACTGACTCTAACACATAACTAAGCCATCTGTTACTTACATTAGCACATTTAATTACACATGTAAAATGCTGTATCTGATACGTGGAAACTTTATAAATGTTAATGTTAGTTATATTTATTATACCATACTTGAAACAATTTTCGTTATATTCAAGAAAGTCTCATATTATTCTGTTGCTTAAAAGCTTTCAATGTTGTCCTATCACCTGGCAAATTAAATATATTTTCTTGAAGACCTGAGACCACCAGAAGTCTTCAAAATTGACAACTCCTCTCTTAGCACGATTGCTTATATAAACTATAATATCCAACAGCAAATACAGAACAAACTGACATTATCATGGGCACTTAACCTTGCATCAAGCCAACACGTCCTTGTGAATCTTATGGTTCCACTGCAAATGGGCTTAGTACTCAAGATATTTGAGAACACTGTTTCAACCTAGTTTTCCAGCCTTGATCCTGAATACTCCTTTATGCTCTAATTGAGCTACCATCCTTTGAACAAGCTCCATATTACCCTGCCTCTATTTCTGCTCTTCACTCTGCCTTAGGTGATTTGGAAATTCTTCCCTACACTATCCAACTTCCACTAGCTGAAATTCTACCCATCATTTAAGATTTGTCTCAACTGCTACATACACCCTTTACAAAGCCTGAGGCCCCCAACTGGACTGGCCTCTAGGTGGTGCTCAAGGTTCCACTCCATGATCCACTCAGGCCCCCAAAGTCCCACGGAACAAAGAGCCAAGTCCAAGAAAACCTATCAGATCTTGTCACCAGAGAAGTGCTTATGTGGTGCACTTTTTCTCAGCATTCCCCAGCTCTTCCTTTAGTAGCTACTCACGCATGATGGAGTCAGCCTCTGGGGAAAACCACACGTGAATCAAACAGCCTTGACAGGCCTTAGACCTCCTGTTTTCTAGGCAAGGGAAAAAGTCCTTTGTCCCTTTCCTTTCCTAGGGGTTGACCCACCTCACCACCAGAGTGATAACACCAGGGTGTGAACCTCAAGAAAAGCACCAGGAAAGCCTGAATGACTAATGTGAAGAGACGAGAGCCTTGGTGGGCTTGTCAGTAGCCCAGGCAAAAGGAGTTCCTAAAGTACCCTATGCTCTAGCTCTGGGGTTTAGGGGCCCCACATAATAAGAGGAGAGTGATTAGGCCTGAAGGGTTCCTTCCAAATGTCATCCTCTGAAACTGGTACAGCAGTAAGCAGTGGCTTCAGGATGCCGGCCTCAGTCCAGTAGCCAAACATCCTAGCTCGCTGATAACTAAGACCTCTGCCTCCTCTGCACTGCCAAAACACAAGATAACTTTCTTTCGTATGGTAGTTCACCTAACTTGCCTGTATTGACAGCCTTTTGTGGAAACTCCCCTTACTAAACTAGAAACTGTACCTCCTTACCTTCTCTGTGCCCCCCACCACAGAGCCGTACTCTAAACCTGAATGAAAACCTGCAGGGTGTGACATGATTACACTGGGACTAGCATAAATTTTTTTCTTTAATACCTTTAATAAATAAAGAGAACTCTGGTCCTGGGGAGATTTGAAAAAGTTTCTGGCATCTTCCGAACTTTTGCATAATTGATAAATCCTCTGAGAAACAGGAGAAAACCTAATTTAAAAAAGAAAAGTCAGGAATGAATTTATATTTTCCATGTTAAGTCCCCTCCCCAGAAATATCCCTCCTGATAGCAATACTTTTGTCATTTTTCTGCTAAAGGATATCAAAACATGAGCAATTTCCTCCACAATCTCCAAAGGATTTTCACACCAAATTATCCATTCCTCAATGACAAGGCATAATCTCAGGAGTCAAAAGTCTCTTTTGCACAATCAGAATCTAATTGGTCTAAAAAAGAAATAAAAAATAAGATGGTACTAAACATTTACATTTGGAAGCCTCATTGAGAAGCATGTCAAAATCTACCCAATGAATGGGGCCGGCCAGGTGGCGCACTGCTACAGTGCGCCGCTTGGGAGCGTGGCGGCGCTCCCGCCGAGGGTTCGGATCCCACATAAAGACCGGCCGCTCACTGGCTGAGCGAGGTGCGGGAGCAACGCCGAGGGTTGCGATCCCGTTGCCGGTCCCGGTCCGGGCGCGACATTGAGGGTTGCGATCCGTTGCTGGTCACGAAAAAAGACAAAAAAGGAAAAAAAAAAAAATCTACCCAATGAATTCCAAAAAAGTATTTCAAAGTAATTAACTCAAAAGAAAAAGGGGGGGTGTTAAAACTGTTTTTCTCAAAAAAAATTTTTTAACTTCTCTTGTGGGATTTCTTTTCCTGTTAACAGAATTTTTTTTTTTTTTTTTTTTTAAGATGACCGGTAAGGGGATCTTAAACCTTGACTTGGTGTTGTCAGCACCACGTTCTCCCAAGTGAGCCACGGGCCAGCCCCAACAGAATATAATGTCCACTAGGTGTCAGGATCCCCTTATCTATTACAGCAATTCTCACAATCTCAACTCCAAACCCTATTTCACCATTCTTAATAAGACTGATTTTGTACAACTATACCAGAATCTATACATTCCCAGAAGTTTATGCCTCTTGGGACAGTTAACAGGGAGATGATGTGTCCCTTCCGATGGAAACTCAAACATTCCTGTCCATCCTACTTCAGAGATGGACCCTGAGTCTTGAGCACATTTTTAAAACACATATATTAAGATACAATTTACAGATCACAAAGTTCACCTGTGTACAACTCACTGGATTTGTGTATATAGAGTTGTATAGCCATGACCATAATCTAATTTTAGAACATTTCATCATCTGCCAAAAATCCTATACCCATCAGCAATCACTCCCCATTCACCTGATCCCATCTCCTCTTTCCCCAGCCCTACGCAACCACTAATCTACTTTCTGTTAGACACATTTTAAAATATACCATTGGATACTTTTTAACATATGCTCAGCACTCAGAGGTGGGAAACTCTTTGTACTCAAGACATTGAAACTGATTTTTGGCACTAACCAAGAGCTGTCAGGGCTGAGCAGGGTGAACACTGTTCTTTTTGGCAACAAAAGCAACAAGTAACTACAGAGCAGGGGTCACCCCCTCTAGGTGGAGGGATCCGAATGAACTGGAGAGCACAAGATCTGTATGAAGGGGACAACTATAACTCAGCTCCAGTCAAAGGTTGCCATTTGGAAATACAGGACACCTTTGCTAGATATTCCAACTTTTAAGAAAAGTAAAACAATCCAGAGGTTTTATGTGGAAAATATTTTTAAATGTTGGCAGCTAATTAAAAACAAAACAAAAAACTTTTAAACTAACTGTAGAACAAACAAGCCACAACTACAGGTTATATGTAGCTCCTGAGCTGCCAGCTTCAGAGCTCTGCACAGACCCTTGCAGGAGAAATTCCATAAAATCAGTTCTCTTCAAAAGGGAAGTTCCAAAAATGACCCAAACATTGGGTACAAATGCACATAAGTGTTTCCAAAGTCTTACCATTTTTTGCTTACAAGTAAATATTACATGCAAGAATGATCAATGATAAAATATTATAACTCCATCTCCCATGAAACTTTAATATGGAAAGGAAATCAATCCATTACATTTCTTTAACTTATGCTGTAAAACAATCAGTCTGAAAATATGCTTAATGGCTCTTCTTTGGTCCATTCACAATTTGATTTGACTTCAGACCTGAGGAGAGAGGGATGGTCAGCCTTTCTCTTAAAGGTACAGTCTAGAGAATAAGCAAGCCATGGAACTATTCCTCCTGTGTTACTCTCCTGTTTATTGTTTTTATTATTAAACTTCTCAATAATCGAGGGAGAAAAAACATCACTATTTCTCTTTCCTTGGAATTCCAATGATCAATAGTAGAGTAGATTAGGCTACTGGGGAAGTGGGAGATGGTATGATGAATGACTTGTATTTTCCAAGTTAAATTTTGGGTCAGCAATGCATGGCTCTACCAGCCTAGGAAAAGCAGGTCATGAATCTGTTAAGCACCTGTTGGGCAAGGGTGCTAAGCTATGCTAACCAGACCCATTATTAGCAGCACTGACACCAAGGTTCTTAACTAAGAAGGCAACATGAAGGCCCAAAACAGGACACAGTAGAAAGGGATATCATAGAAGCATAGTGAGGCAATCACACCATATTTAGTAGCTACAAGATGGCCCTGCTATTGTTTTGTAGAACTCATAGCAGTGATGGTAGTCTCTCTTATTGCATCATATGCATTTTCTTTACAAATAATGAAGAAGTCAATATTAAAATAATTTGCCCAATGTTTATTTCTTAGAACAACAACCTGAAATACTTGGTATTTTTTTTTTTAAAAAAAACCTCCTCCCCATTGTAAAACAATTCTTACTGTTACTAACAGTGAACTAAAGAATTCTGGAACCCTATAGTTGTTGTTTCAGAAGTTATCTTTAGCAAGGCTATATGTTTCCTGTTTTCTGCTCACAGATCCAACCAAAGATGGACCGTATATACTTATGAGTTAGTTCAAATTTGTTTATAGTATACCTATAAGTAATTTGGTGTTGAATATGTACATCCTTTGCAGCAATAACTCACAAGGGGAAAAAAGACTAGAGTCATCTTGTCGGTATACTCCATTGATCACATGGGAAGGAATATATGAGTGGGTTAGGAAAAACCTACCAAAATGAAGAGACTTTTTATTAATATATATGTTACTCTGATGGTGACAATAGCCTAATCTTTAAGAAAGAAACATTTTAAAAATTATACTTATTCCTGATGATTAATATTATTGCTACATAATAAGTGACATGAAGGTTTCTGAAAGTAATTTTACTTGTAAAAGTTAACATAACCTTTTCTCTCCTTTTATGTTGAAAGCACTTACCTAAAACCAGGAACACCCACCAGAGCCAGTACTGACCATCAAAGTATCCAGGGAAATAGGTAGAAAACTGAAAAATACAGTAAAATATTTTATAGCAGTTTAACAGACACAACTTCACATTTTAATTTAAGGGCACACAAAATACAGACTTATATTTGTTACACCAATGCTGTCATTTAGAGCTTACAATCATTTAAAAAGTGTAAGTGAAAGTATTTTATATACTACTGATTTGAAATGGTTACAACAAATGCAAATCTATTTCCTTTCATGGAAAGCAATCTTTAAACATGATAGGTTTCACCTTTATGGACTCCTTGTTTTGAAATATACAAATTTTTTTTAAAAAACCTTTTTTTGCCCACGTAATATTTGCCCTTCTAGAAATATGTTTCAATGCCAAAAGCAACTGTTTGTCTGATTATCACTGCCTCCTTTCTAGTGAGGGCTTCATTTTGTTCCTACCCCTCCCACCTTGCCTTGACCTTAGAAGCTTTATCATGTATATCATGTTAATCCCATTCCCTTGCTAGGGACTGGTTTAGGAGTGGGCACAGAATGTCATTCTGGCGAATAGAAAATGAGGGCTCTGAGAAAGAAGGCTTCCTTGCTCTAAAAGAAAAAAGGAAGGGAAGAAATAGTTTACTTTCCTATGTTAAGCAGGGTTGTGTTTCAATGTGATACCTGAAACTGCCATCTTTTAACCCTGAGGGGAGGAGGAACCATAACCAACATGCTGAAAAGTCAGCTATCCCTAATTATGTTAATGAACCATTCACTGATTTAACTATCCTCCATGTCAGGACTTGTATTCAAACTTTCTCCACTGTTTTCTTATTTTCTAAGCCATTCTGAGCTAGGTTTTCTGGAGCCAAAAGCATCCTAACTGATACAAGTTGATTCATTCAATTCAGTTTAAACATTTAATCAATTTAGTTCAAAATTTAATTTTTAAAAAAAAGGGATTGGTAACTAATTTTATTTCTGTTTTCTTTGGAGGCTTTGGTGTCCAAGAGTTTAACAGTTTGGGAATTAAAATATAGTATTTTATTTCTTTTTTTTTTTTTTTTGTCTTTTTCTCATGTCCGGCAACGGATCGCAACCCTCAGTGTCGCGCCCGTACCGGACCGGGACCAGCAACGGGATCACAGCCCTCGGCGTTGTGCCCACACCTCGCTCAGCCAGCGAGCGGGAACCGGTCTGCATGTGGGATCCGAACCCTCGGCGGGAGCGCCGCCACACTCCCAAGCGGCGCACTGTAGCAGTGCACCACCGGGCCGCCCAGTATTTTATTTCTTAATAAAGTAACAATTAAAATTTAGAGAAGAAAAGAAAACCTCTTTTAAGGCTTGGGTTCTTAACCTAAAGTCCATGTTTTAGATGAGTATATATTAGCTCTCTAGGGAAAAAGCTTATAACTTTCATCAGAGTCTCATGGGATTCTGGAACCCTAAAAATGTTAACAACTGCTTTACAATAAAGTAGGTGGGACTACTTTGAAAAACTGCATTGGTCAATCAACACCCTTTAATTAGTTAAGTATGCCAAATTATGATGAATAAATTGGTGGATAATAGCAATAAACTTAACTGAAATCAAAGGATATGTTAAAAGTTTAAATGTTTTACAACTTTAAATTATTTCATGCAATTTTAACTGGTAATTCCCAAATCACTGAAGATATACATCTCTCTAATTTAACTTCAGAGGTAGGCCCCTCATGGAGTAGCACTTGTTGAACAGTTTTGGCTCCCCCAATATTTTGGCATGACCAATCCTGGAAGAGAAGGAGGAAGAGAAGAAGAAAAGAGGGAAGGAAGAAGAAAGCTGTACTAAAATTTCAGTAGAATTAATGAGAGGAATGTCTGGTTCTGACAAGACACCAAAGAGGCGATATCCTTCCTTTTACCATAAAACAACTAATTTCAGAAGATACACAGTTATTATTATAAACATTAAAAACAAAGAAAGCGACCGGTGAATAACCTGTCGGACAGACCAATATTCAATAAATTTGACTATGAAACTTCTTCGCATGAGCCACTTGCAACTGATTTTCATTCAACGTCATCATGAAACCAGAACACAAATGAAAATTATTCAAAATGTTGAGACAACTCAAAAAACGCAAATGAAAAATAAAATATTCAAAATCATTCTAATTATTCATCTCTCTGTAATCTTCGCATGAGCCACTTGCAACTGATTTTCATTCAACGTCATCATGAAACCAGAACACAAACGAAAATTATTCAAAATGTTGAGACAACTCAAAAAACGCAAATGAAAAATAAAATATTCAAAATCATTCTAATTATTCATCTCTCTGTAAAGTCTATATTTTCTGTTGTACAACTTACCCTGACAATCAGGATCCACTTAATTAGAGAGAGACCAAATCCTGAAATGGCCCCATACCTTCCTGCAGCTGAGGTGGTCAGGCAGAAAGACAGGAAAAACCCAATCCAGTTAAAGAGGAATGCCACTGCAAAAGCAGAGGGGGTACAAAGAAGTCAGATATATCTTATAGCCAAGGAACAAGAGTGCCTTTTATATCTGCCTCTGCTTAAATGACATTCCCGAGGATAAAAGAGCCTGGCCTCCGCAACTCTCACCCACTTCCCCAAAACATCTATCTTTTGTCTTCCCTCCAAAAGCAAACAAGAAAACATCCTCTGTGAATATCAGATTTTATACTATTATGTCTACTGCTATTCACTTTCAAAAATGCCTTAATATTCACCAAATTGTATGCTTATGACCTGTGTCTTTACTGTGTCTTATATACTTCAGTAAATAAAATAAATGCCTTGAACATTAAATTAGTGTCCCCAAATAATCCGATTTAAGTCACTCGGCCTCCTGCTCTATGAATTTTGACAGCTTATATAACATCATCTCTAAAAGCATTGTACTTTCGTTATCTTTTTAATACAGAAAATAAAGGAAATGGTTGCTTACTTCTAAGTGAGGCACATGAAAAGATAAATGCAAAATAACATCAAGAGGAAAAAAAACATTAAAGGAGAAAATATCAGGCTGACTTTGATCTATCAAAAAATATAAGCTTGCAGAACAAAATTCATGAGACAAAGGCATTTAATTCCTATTCTACAGGTTGAGTATGAGTATGATCATTGCTAAGAAGCCCTGTAGACCTGGAAGATGAGGCTTAGCTCATGTAAAAAGACAGCATCCCCATAACTGGGGGGATTAATTATATTTTCCATAAATATTCATGGAAATAGAAGGTGAAGAGAAGGGATATTAAGATAAAAGTGTACTAAGCTCTGAATATCCCAGTAAAAGGCACCAAATAAATATCATGTATTAATATATTAGCTCAACTGGTTATTTTAATTCAGTCAGATTCACACATAATCTAAAGCACTCTGGTTTGTGGGAAGTGATTCTGCTATGTGTATATACGTACTGAAAAAAGTTAACATGAAAATCCCATCGTTTCCTATCCTCAGCTGGTCAGCATCATCAAAATCATCCCGACCCACAAAATCTTCATCCTAAATGAAAAGAAAAAGAATAGGTAAATTCATAATGAATTTTTTCTAGTCAAAAAAAGACATCAAGAAAAATAAAGAAAGAGGCAAATGTGAGTACCAAGGAGAAAATTTATTGCTTTGGCTCAATTCAAAACTATGAGCATTAAAGACTCAGTATGTTTTAAAACTTTCATTTTGCATTACAAGTAAAAGATACGATGAGAGAAAAAACAAACCTTTCTTCTGTCCTCACAGTATTCTAAATTAAATTTTCATTTTATAATCCAAATTCTTTAATACACTTCAAAAAATAAAAAGTTCACAAAGAACTACTTACCCTTCCTTTTAAAAACTATATCTCAAGAAAAAAAAATTTACTTACACATTTGGCTTAATTCTAGAATATCAGTAATCCAAGGCCTGTTTAGGGCCTAGAATGTTAGTAATCCATGTTAGTAAGGAGGTAAAATAGACCAGCTCAAGTGTTTTATGAGACTGGCATGGGGGGAAAAGGACAGCATGATCATACATGAACAGCCTACAGAGCTGCCCACTACTTGACTCCACACACGTGTTTGTCTTGGTATACAGGTCTGAAACATTCCCATCTCCAGTCTTATGGGCAGATAGGATCTCTTCCACCTTAACTTGAAAATATTGCAGGTCTAGAAGGAACACGATCCTGACCAACACCAACACGAACATACATAGCCCCTATCTTTTCTACTGATGTAAGTATGTGTTGAGATACCAAATAACTAAACATACACTTTAATGTGAAAGTGATAGATTTGTATATAGTTCAATGAGGGCTCCTCAAATAGAAAAAAAAAAAAATTAAGGGGCAATCAAAACTTGTCCTACACAGAAAAGGAGCCGGGAAGAGCCATACCAAACTGTTAGTAGTTCTCCTAGGGAGTGGGAACTAGAGAAAGTGACAGTCAGTGGCAGCTTCCTTTTCTAACTTAAAAACTTCCTCTATTGTTTGAAATTTTTACAATAATGCATTTGTCTTATAATTATTAAAATATTAAATATCAGTACTCTGACTTCATATTAGCAGAACAAGGCTTTGCTAAATTAGAAACTAATTCTGTTTTGTGCAAAACTACTTAAAGACACATGAAGTAACTTCTTATAATATTGCAAATGCCTTCTAACTGTTCTTCCTGTCCTTGGTATCTCTTCTACCATGATTTCTCCTACAAACTGTTCCCAGGTTCATGTTTAACAACCACACTAGTCCTTTCATACTCCTGCTCAAACAGGATTCCACATAAGCTACATGCTAGGATGAAACACCTCAGCCTAGCATTCCAAGGATCCTACAAATGACAGTTGTGGTCACGTTTTCCTATCTTCCTTCATAAACTCTTTGCTCGTACAAAACCAATTACTGCATCCACAGAACTGCCCTGGACGTGGCTGAATTCATACCCGCTTTCTGGGCTTCTTCCCTCTGGAATGCTCTTACCCATCAAAACTCTGGACCCACTTCAAATCCCATCTTTCCCCATGATCATCCAGTGTGATATTATGATATATGTATATTGGTTTTTGCCCTCAGTTCCTAGCTCATAACCCCCATCCTTGTTCTTTTGTTATAATGTTGTGACACTTTAGGCTTCAGAAGGAAGCCTCAGAATAGGGTCTTTCTTCTACACTCCTTTCACTTGCTCCTTTTTCTCACCAAGGCAGCGAATTCTCTGACCTCCCTTATCTGATTGTAGGTCATAACACCCCTATTCCAGAAAGGGGTCTCGCCCCATACTTGGGAGGAAAGAATGCTGCACAGAGAATCTGAATAAACAGGCCTTGTTGGGTTTCTCCATGCTGTCTAATTGTGTTAGATCATACCTTTTGTCCAACCACATTTCTACACGGTCATCCAGGCTTCTCCCATCATGTATATGTAATGAAGCTTCCACAAAACCCCAAGAGGACAGAGTTTGTTTAGATAGCTTCCAGAGAGCTGAGCACGTGGAAGTTCCTGAAGGGTGGCATGACTGGGGAGGACATGGAAGCTCCACACCCCTTCCCCCGTACCTCACCCTGTGCATCTCTTCATCTGTATCCTTCATCATCTCCTTTATAAAAAAACCGGTAAATGCAAGTACGTATTTCCCTAAGCTCTGTAAGCCACTCTAGCAAATTAATTGAACCCAAGGAGGGGGTCATGGGAAACCCAGTTTATAGCTGGTCAGTAAGCATGGGTAAAACAACCTGGAGCTTGAGACTGGCATCTGAAGTGGGGGTTGGGGAAGAGACTGAGCCCTCCACCTGAGGGATCTAACGCTATCTCCAGGCAGACAGTATCAGAACTGAACTGAATTAGAGGACACCCAACTGGTATCTGCTGCAGAACTGCTTGATTGCTTGGTGGGAGAAATCCCCACACACGGTCATGTGAGTCAGAAGTATGTGTTGACCTATGTGATTGTGGTGAGAGAGCATAGAAAAAAAATGTGTTGTTTTTTTTCCCCCTCTGTCACAGTTCTTGATGTCCACTGTTCTTATGCAGCTTAGATATGGCTATTTGCGGGCCTTTTACCCTAGCTGGATTTTAAACTCTTGCATGTCAGGAACACTGCCTTATACAAAGCTTTTTACCTACCCACTGCAAAATATACAGCACCTTGTATAAAGAAGTGCTCTACACGTCTGCTAAATAAAGAGGTTCCCTAAATATGTACACTTGTCAAATAAAAGTATATTCTGAAGAGTTCTATGATTAATCAGAGCTAGAGTACAGTGAAGCATACAAGGAATTTGGAATCTAGAATATCTGGGTTTGACTCACTTCTTATTAACCATATGATTGGGTAAATTACTTGATCTCTTCTGGGCCTCAATTTTTGCATCTGTAAAATGTAGATAATATAATCTCTATCTTGTAAGGTCACTGTGAGGATTGAAAACAATATACAAAATATATAAACGTATCAATCACAGTACCAAGCATGATGTTTGCTTCCAATATATATATGGTAGTTATACGAGTATTATGACTGTTTTGCCCCTAGACAATAAGCACCATGAGGTTCTTAGTTTCTCCCTGAAGCCTACGAGAACTGAATGCACATCCCAATCATAAACTATTCCTGCCAAGCAGTGGTTTTAGGAGCTTCACACTTTATAGTAGGCGGGGTCTGTAAATAATCCACCACCCTAAAGCCAGCAGAACCTCTGGGGCCTATGCCATCACACTGCCCAGACTGAGCTTCTGTTCTTGTTATTTTCTCCAGTTTCCTGCCAGGACTGGAGCCTAAGGCTCTGGTCACCCCCACATTCCTGGGGACTGTATCCTGCTCCCATCCTCCCAATAGCTGGCCTAAAGCCCTACCCACATCAACCTCAACCTGGATGAAACCACATCTATATTACTCACAGATCTGACATCAAGAGCTACAAGTGCCCAAAAATCTCCACTGTATTACATCATATCCTACCCTCACCCCCATGAACCAGCATCAGGCTAGATGGGACCTGAACTCATTGCATGATCTGGACTGCTGGAGGCATAGGGTTCATCTAGATGATTGTTAAGGTCCCTTTCAAGAGTTTAAATCTATGAAGTTGCACGTATTTATTCTCTCTATAGACCTCCCTAGCAGCTATCCACCTAACACCAAAATAAGTAAAATCAAGGCAAAGTCAGCGTATTGCCTACATCAGCTCCTGCTACAAGATGCTTCAGCCATCCTAGGACACTTGAGAAACTGGTGGTAGAGTAGAGATACAGGAAAAATGAGCTGGTTTGACTAGTGATTTTCTGCTCATTTATACCTCTTTACCTCATCATTTTCAGGAAAATACGAGTTTATTATCCCAAAGGAAAATGTACTTTTTTTTTTGTGGCACTGGCTGGTACAAGGATCTGAACCCTTGATCTTGGTGTTATAACACCACGCTCTAAACAACTGAGCTAACTGGCCAGCCCTTGTTTTTTAAAATTAGCTGTACTTTTACTAATCAATACAATCGTAAGTAATAAATCAAAACTGGATAGTAAAAATAACTTACTCCCCATAAAGCAGTCATCAAGTAACATGGCAAATTGTACTTACTCTTCCAGGAACCAGAGGGATAGCAGCTTCAACCTTGGTTCTCTCGGCTTCATCATAACTGGGCAGTGTTGTAGCTACATTGTAAGATGGGGGCTTGGGAAACCCAGACTCATCTTTGTAGTCAAAATATGCTGCAGAATAAAAAAGAAAGTCATGATACTGTGAACTGAAGGAATAAAGGTTTTGCACTAACTCTGGCAAAAAAAACCCCCAGCCATTCCCCTAAGGATATAGAAAGTCATGATACTGTGAACTGAAGGAATAAAGGTTTTGCACTAACTCTGGCAAAAAAAAACCCCAGCCATTCCCCTAAGGATATAGAATTATTGAACCAAAAGACACTTATACATTATAGATGAATATAAGAGACTGGGGATGATTTTTAAATTTGTCTTCTTCTGAATTATTTAAAATCCGACTCACTTTGTATCTTCCCTTCCAACTGCTTTTGAAACACTTTTTTTGACCATCATGTCTAAGTGTACATAGAGTATATTTAAGTAGTTTAGTCATCCCCTTGCCCCATTTCCTACCTGCACTCTCTACGGAGATGCTGCTGTAAGGTGGAGGAGCATCACCTGCAGCCTGTTCAGGTACTCCAACCATTTCCTCATTCTGCAACTAAATAAAAATTTCATATTTTAATGCAAGTGTAAAACCAAATAGAAAGATAAGAAACTGAAAACTGGAATATGCTCTCTGAAAAGCTATTTGGCAATGTGTTTCAAAAGCCTTAAAACGTACAAATCTGTTTTAAAGTATTCTGATCCCAGGAAGTTATTCTATGGAAATAATCAGAAAAAGAGACAAAAAAAAAAGTAGACAAAAATGCTACTGCAGCAAAAATTACAAACAACCTAAATTCCAATCATAGGAAACTTATTAAATAAATTACAGTATATCTCACAAAGGACTGAGTACTAAGCAGCCATAAAAAATAAAAATGAGGAAAATTTGATGACTTGAATAGATATTCATGGTGTACTGTTAAAAGTAAAAAAAGCTAAATTTACCTAATAGTATGCACCACATAATTTGTTTTTAAAAAGAAAGATATATAATGGAAAGCAGGTCTAGCATGATAGACAAGTACAATTCAACACTGATATCTCTAGGTAATGGGAGTATAGGGGAATTTTTCCTTTTTGTTCTTTATATGTATGTTGTAATTTTTTGTAATGAACATTTATCACTTGTATAATTGTTTAAATTTAGAAAGATAATCTGTTAAGACAAAGACAAATCACAGGCAAACCAAGGTTTACCATTATATTCAGTTCGTGCACAGAAATTAAATCTTAAATAACAGACATTTATGAAAACAAAATTCTACCTAATTCTACATATGACCTCTGTCAGTACATCTCCCTCTTCCCTATCTCAGCGACTTTTTCACTGGCCAAATCTTCAGTTATTTTAAATAACTCACACTAAAAGTGTGTCTGCCTGCTATTGCTTGTCTATACTCTACACAAGTCATGTTCATAGAACAAAGGCATTTCAATAATTTTTCCAGTGTGACAATACACTACATTTTTTAAAAAGATGATGAGTTGGCTGAGACTGGGAATTAACCTGTAAAGAAATAACAATATTTACTGATATAACCAACTTGGGGGTCTGGTCCTGTCTACCATCATGACATATAGGGCCAACTGAGGTACCTGTAAAATACATGCCACCTCTAAACCATAATGCTACAAACATCTTGAATTGAGACAGAAAAACAGAGAGCCTGTGATGTCAAAACATGAAGTAAGGCTCCCTAATCCATTAAATTTTAACTGACCATCTCAATCTCCAATCCCTATGCTTTTCAAAACAAGGTGGCAACAAAACTTTTCTGACTAATACTGCAAAGCATTCAATTTCAAATACAGATACAGTCAGGCCTAATGTTCCTAGTACACCAAATCAATGAATTATTATTATTATTATTTTTTTTATTTTTTTAAAAGATGACCGGTAAGGGGATCTTAACCGTTGACTTGGTGTTGTCAGCACCACGCTCACCCAGTGAGCGAACCGGCCATCCCTATATGGGATCCGAACCCATGGCCTTGGTGTTATCAGCACCGCACTCTACTGAGTGAGCCAGGGGCCGGCCCAATCAATGAATTATTTAAATAGAGTTCCTGGGACCATGGTTCACTTGAAATACTGGTTTTAACATTATCTGAAGCTCTAGACAGGGTATTTTCAGCCTCCTCATATCTAACCACTCTTGTGCAGCAGGAAGGTCGCAGAAAAGAGGCAAAAGAGTCAGCAGCAAGAACAGAGGAATCAAAACAAGGTGGCAACAAAACTTTTCTGACTAATACTGCAAAGCATTCAATTTCAAATACAGATACAGTCAGGCCTAATGTTCCTAGTACACCAAATCAATGAATTATTATTATTATTATTATTATTTTTACAGATACAGTCAGGCCTAATGTTCCTAGTACACCAAATCAATGAATTATTATTATTATTATTTTTTTTATTTTTTTAAAAGATGACCGGTAAGGGGATCTTAACCGTTGACTTGGTGTTGTCAGCACCACGCTCACCCAGTGAGCGAACCGGCCATCCCTATATGGGATCCGAACCCATGGCCTTGGTGTTATCAGCACCGCACTCTACTGAGTGAGCCAGGGGCCGGCCCAATCAATGAATTATTTAAATAGAGTTCCTGGGACCATGGTTCACTTGAAATACTGGTTTTAACATTATCTGAAGCTCTAGACAGGGTATTTTCAGCCTCCTCATATCTAACCACTCTTGTGCAGCAGGAAGGTCGCAGAAAAGAGGCAAAAGAGTCAGCAGCAAGAACAGAGGAAAATACAGACTTTCCAAGAATGCTGCCCTAATATACTATAGCTAGCAATGACATTTCTAACCCGTTTCACATTTCTAACTTGGTATTTCTAATCCGTTTTATATTTCACAAGCTTGGTAAAAGTAATCATGTTACCTCTGCATAATTTAGGTTTCAGAAAGGAAGCATGGCAATTCTAAGAAATAACAGAAGTCCAAAGATTAAAGAGGTAAAGAGGTTCTTACGTGCCAGTACCTATAAGATAGGCTGCCTGTCTCCTAGCAACCTGGAAATGTAAATTTTGATCATCCCCCACCACAGCAACAGATAACAGAGAAAAGAAACTCTAATCATCTCAGAAACCCCAATTTTCTCTCTGGTGAGGAAAAAAGAAACATTTCCAGGTGAAATTTTTTGCTCCATTAAAATTCACTACTTTAGAATCATGAACTAATACAGAGCACTTCAAAAAGTTCAGGGAAAGATTCATATAAGGGCTGGCAGGTGCCACCCCCCCCTACCATGTCAGCATCCAGCCCAGCCATGACCACTAAGAAGCTGCCAGAAGTGACCCGGACTCCCTGGGTAGGGCTGGCCCAGGGCCTCAGCCATGCCCTC